GTGTGTATATATATCTCCTCACTATATGTTCCATTCTATGCATCCAATGAAGTGGGCTGTAGCCCACGAAAGCTTATGCTCAAATAAATTTGTTAGTCTCTAAGGTGCCACGAGTACTCCTGTTCTGTTTTCTATGAGCAGCTCTTCTGTAATATCCTCACTGCTTACTAAAGCCAAGTAAAAGGGTACATCTATACTGCAAATTAAATTGCAATTTCAGTGGGGGTAGGCATATCCATGCCAGATTTAACATAGCTAGTGTGGGTAGTAATAGCCGTGGGGATGCTGGTGCAGGCCCAACCTCCTCTCAGTGCCCAGGGTCCCCAGTGTGCTTCTACTGGGGCAGCTATCCTTCACTGAAGCCCACACCACATTTTCATTGCTATTGTAAGCCGTGCTAGCTAGATTAAAGCTAGGGCAGGTATGCCTACCCATGCTACAACTCTGCCTTCATTTGCCGTGTAGACATGCCCTAAAATAGCATCCCCTCTGGTTGGTTTTGGCTGACTTTGTCCTTTCACCCCAGTTCAGTGCTCCCATCTGTGGTTTATGTATGACAGAGAGGGGAATCAAGTTGAACGCTAAATGTGTTTTGTTTAAGTTAACCGTGAAAATGGCCAATTACTTTTAACATGAGTCTTAACAGATAGAGGTGGGCTGCTGAATAGTCAACTTGCTGCATTTATGGAATAAGATAAATCAGATAATCAGATTCAACTTTTATATTTTAGGTCTGAACATCTGTTTGGAAAAAACAGTTGCTCCCAGTTTTTAATCCATTTCCATTGTGTTCCTTTTCTTGCATAGCATTGAAGGATCTGGAAGATGCAGCTTGTAAAGAAGGTGAGTTTTTGCTTTAATTACTGGCCTGTTATCTCGTTCCCATTCAAAGGGTGTAGTGACATACAGCTACTGCTAATGACTCCTGTTTGCCCTACTAACCTGAAAAGTCTTCTTGAAATTCTCACAAGAGTAAGGCAAATAGGATTTGGCCAAAAACGAGAGAGTTTCTTGCCTTTGGAAGGGGAGTTAATTACCAAAGATAGTAGGAATCCATTTTATTTTTACCCCTTTCAATTGGAGCAGCTGCAGCTAGTCAAAGTTCAGAGCACTGCAGGTATTTCCAGTTAAGAGGAGAAGTTGACAATGGAGTCTTGTACCTTTTCATAGATTCTAGGACTGGAAGGGACCTCGAATCATGTTTGCTTTTTTTGCAACAGCATCACACTGTTGACTCATATTTAGCTTGTGGTCCACTATAACCC